AGCTAGATGAGCTCGAATTTGAAGCTTTCGAAGCATTTGAGGCTGATTCAGCCAGAGAAGAAACACACTGGGCTAAGTAAGCAATTTTTTCAAGGTCTTTGCATTGAGCTAATATTGCCACAGGCTTACTTTTTTATGTTAGAAAATTAGCTTGTTTTTCTTGCACTTTTGAAGATGGACTGATGGTGAAGTTGGAACTACTTTTGACCTATTTCGCTCGCAATTTTTGAGTCAGACTTGAATGGCTTTTATTGAGATTTGTAATATTGTATAGGGTCATTTGTGTCTTTTACTTATTTAATTTTGTCTATAAATAGGCATCTAAGTATCCATTTTACAAATATAGAAATTCAGCTGTGCTCAACAGCTTTCCGCCTCATTTTTCATCTCCAGATCTCATCTTCCTGCTGCAAACTTCACATGTTATCAGAGCAGTTGATTTCTTCTTCGATGGAAAATGATTCTGATCCTCAAATACAGAATCAAAACCAGACGAATCAAGCTGATTCACATGTTGATCCATCATTTACAGAAATAATGACTGGAGATGCGGAATCCATTGTTAATCGATTGATTAGCGGTGGTAGCAGCCCGTATTATCTTCACTATGGTTATAATACTGGTATGCAACTCATTTATGTGGTTCTTACTGAAGAGAATTACGCTACCTGGAGCAGAGCTGTGATAATGGCTCTAAGCGTGAAAAATAAAGAAGTATTCATTGATGGATCCATTACCAAACCTGCTTTGGATGATCCTACGTATGTTGCTTGGAGAAGATGCAATCACATTGTTGCTTCGTGGATTATAAATTCGATTCCAAAGGAATTATATCCTAGCATGATGCATAAAGACTCAGCCAGGTAAATCTGGACTGAGCTTAGGGACCAGTACAATCAAGGCAATGGTCCTCGATTTATGAACTTAAGAAACAAATTGCCTTCTATTTCTCAGGCAAATAACTCTGTTAATTCATACTTTTGCAGATTCAAGGGGTTTTGGGAAGAACTTGAGAATTACATACCAGAAATAAGCAGTAATAACTATAAGTCTGAGGATTAGACTATGCAATTTTTGATGGGATTAGATGGGCGTAAGAAGCCGATCTTACTAATGGATCCTATACCTCCACTTAACAAAGTTTTTTCCCTAATCTGCAAGAAGAAAGGCAACGGTAGATTATAAATAAGAAGCAACACAATGTAGTTGATGCTGCCGCCTTTACCAACAGACTAATTCCAAAGTTTACAGGCAATCAAAGAACAAACTATCTAACTCATTCACAAAGAAGAGAAAGGCCAGTGTGTAGTTACTATGGGATGCCTGGGCACATTCAAGGAAAATGTTACAAGCTAGTTGGCTATCATCCTGGTCATAGGCTTGCTAAGGAGAGAAGTTCAGTAGCTAATGCTATTAGTTAGGTATCTCGTGTTGGTGATTCTGAGATAACAAACTCATTGTCAAATGTTACCATCACACCAGAGCAATGTCAACAAATCATTGCACTATTGGCACCACAACTTCAAGGACAAATTTCAAATTCTAATCACCAGTCGCAAAATGTGAACTCTGCCACATCTTCTATACCTGATGCCTTTGCATTATCAAGTAATAGTGTAACCCCTGCAGGCAAGTAGATAATTGATACAGGTACATCTGAGCATATGGTATGTTTTACCAAACACTTAACTAGTATAAATGGTATTGTTAAGGCATCTGTTCATTTACCTGATGGAAGTATGGCTGCTGCACACATTGGAAATGTGAAACTATCTGCTAATCTGATTTTAACAAATGTTTTAGTTGTGCCAAGTTTCAAATTCAATTTGATATCTCCAAGTCAATTGATTGCCAAGCATCATTGTTTTCTGATTATCATCCATAATTGATGTTTTGTTCAGTATCTTTCAACATGGATGATAATTGGGATAGGCAGGCTTGAGGGTGGTTTATACCATTTTCAGCATACTGAACACCACAAGTACAATGATCAATCTCCATAGCCTTTTTAAAGTCTTAGTTCTTTTCATTCTCTGTCAGTTCAAAATTGTAAAAAGCAGAATTCTGTTGCTTGTACCTCTATTAACAATGTTGCCAATATGGATATTGATATCTGACATTGTCGTTTGGGCTACATTCCTATATCTCAATTATCTATTTTACATAAATCTGTTCCTATCATCACGTTTAATGAGCATTTGCACTGTCCTATTTGCCCCATGGCTAAACAACATAGATTGCCATTCCATAATAGTGAAACTAAAACTTCCAAACCTTTTGAAATCATTCACTGTGACATCTGGGGTCCCTATTCAGTTCCTGCCCTAGATGGATCTAAATATTATTTGACCATTGTTGAGGATTATAGCCGTATAACTTGGACATACCTTATGAAAGATAAATCTCAAACCAGAATCATTATTCAGTCATTTTTCCAGTTAATCCAAACATAATTCAGTTGCAAGATTGAGGTTCTTCAATCAGACAATGGATCTAAATTTCTTATGAATGACTTCTATCAAACCCAATGCATTATTCATCAATTGAGCTATGTTGAAACTCCACAACAGAATGGAATTGTTGAACGTAAGCATCAACATATTCTTAAAATTGCTAGAGCCATCAAATTTCAAGCTAAATTACCTCGTAAGTTTTGGGGAGACGCACATCATAAATAGAACTCCAACCAAAGTCCTTGACAATAGATCACCTTATGAAATGTTATACAAAACATAAGCCTCTTACACTCATCTTAGAGTGTTTGGCTGCCTTTGTTATGCTTCCACTCTTCGAAGAAACCGTACAAAATTTGACCCTAGAGCCATGCCTTGTATCTTCATCGGTTATCCCTATGGCATGAATGCTTAAAAATTATATAATCTTCAAACCAATTCCACATTCATTTCACGGGATGTTTTGTTTCATGAAACCATTTTTCCATTTCATCATCCAAAATTCTTGCAATTCATAAATACCTGCAGCAATTCCTCTCATCATAATCATTTTTTATTTCCTGCCCTGCTGATATTCCCTCATATCCTTCCAAATTGCCTATTTCTGATTCATCAGATCTTCCTACCTCTCCTATATCACATCCTCAAACTGAGGAACATCCTCAATCTGAACCTTCTCAATCTGATATGCCGCAATCATCTCCCCCGTACCTATATCTTTTGTACCATCACTTCAACCTCCTATTATTCCATCTCGAAAATCTGACAGACCTAAAAGAACCCCATCTTATCTTCATGATTATCATTGTAACTTGGTGTCTCAAACTTCCATTCTTCAATCAGATTCCATGACGTAAGTGACTGAATCAGGCAAGCAATACCCAATATCAGTCGATTGAACTATGGTCACTTATCTTCTACACAGAGAAACTATGCTTTAGCTCTGTCAACCATTTATGAGCTTAGAACTTTAGCTGAGGCTTTTGAGATTCCAGAATGGTGTAAGGCCATGGATGATGAATTTCAGGCACTTATATCCAACAACACATGGTCTGTAAGCAAACTTCCCATTCACAAGAAACTTGTTGACTGTAAGTGGGTTTTCAAAGTTAAATTGAATTCTGATGGTATAGAATAGAGAAAGAACGCTAGGCTGGTAGCTAAAGGCTTCATTCAGCAAGCTAGTTTGGATTATAAAGAAACTTTTTCCCTAGTTTCCAAATTAGCCATAGTGAAAACTCTTATTGCTATTGCTGCTCACCATTCTTGGCACCTACACCAATTGGACATCAATAATGCCTTCCTTCATGGTGAACTAGAGGAGGAAGTTTATATGACTATGCCCCCGGGTTATGAGCAGCATGGGGAGAATGGAGAAAAGCTTGTTTGCAATCTGAACAAGTCCATCTATGGACTTAAACAAGCATCAAGGCAGTGCAACACAAAGTTAACTACCTATATTGTATCACGAGGCTTTCAACAATCCA